ATGAATGACTGATTTGGAACATAACTCTTGAAACCTAAAATTTTGAAACTTCATACATCAAAAGATAGACCAAGCTACTATTTGATTGTAACCATAATATATATATTGATATCATATAAAACTCTGACCATAAACTGATAACAGATAGTAGGTCATTGGTCAGATGAGTGATGCATTGGGTATTGAAGTTTTCTACTTAAATATATGATTCTATATTACATATTCGTGGAGAGGTTATAATATTAAGTTGCGGTTTTGTTCAAATACAACACTATCCTTGTAATGGTTATGAAAAGTAAAATAAATTGTGTTCAACGTCATTTATTATTTAGGCAATATTTGATAATTTTGGTAACTGCATTGCTTAAATTTGATTAACCCCATGTTGCTCAACCTTTTCTGGATTTCAACCAATTTAATTGAGCATATATATATATATATATAGATTAGTTCCAATGCATCCCATTATTTAAATTGAGGACGTGAGACTCATTCCTAGCCACAAGATTTAAATCTTGATCTAAATATTAATTCTTTATTTTTATTATTTAATTCTTTATTTTTAATTATTTAAATATTATTATGACCATTGACCGTTGACTCCGGCGTTGACCGTTGACTTCCGGCGTTGACTTCCGACGTTGACCGTTGACCATTTGTCTTTTGTTATGTTATTTCTTTCTTGCTAGGTTAGTTGTTTGTTGTTGCTAGGTTTTTTTNACGCCCCGGAAGGGCGGGGGATTGGGCTGGATCCCCAACCTGTGCATAGATCAGGGCCCCAAAACCGGGAGCCCAAAATGTCAACGAACCAGATACATAGGTCTACATAGTCTGAAAATAAAAAACAAAAACAAGAAAAACAAAAAAGAAAAACAAATCGAAAAATGAAAAAGAAACAAAAAACTACATAATAAAGTCGATCTTCGGGCTAACAGATGCCCGAGATAAGTCTATACTAATGAAAATAGAAATCCTATACTAGTGAAAGCGGAACGCTGGGTATCCAAGCTGGTCCATCCGTACAAGAGTGCGAAGGCAGAGTGGAGCAGTGTCGGTGTGGAATGTATGTGTACCTGGTATGGTGGCGCCAAGGCTGGCCAGGTAATCAGCCGGTCTGTTCCCCTCACGGAAAATGTGTGTGATCCTGTGATGGACTGACTGAAGTAGATCTCTAATGCGCAGGAGCGGGTGCTGAATCTGCCACGAGCCCTGATGGCCCGAAGTCAAGAGGGTGGCGACAGCCGCAGCATCCAGCTCGATCCATATATGACTAGAGATGTGGGCAGCTATCTGAAGGCCAATCTGTAGTGCCTGAATCTCTGCGTCGTAGCTCGAGGAGGCCTGAATGGACGCGTGGAAGGCGGTGATGAGGGCGCCGCTATGGTCCCGAATCAAGCCTCCTCCTCCGGCAACTCCAGTGTGGCGATCGAAGGAGCCATCAGTGTTCAGCTTGACCCAAGGAGAGTCAGGTCGAAGCCAAACAACAGCTCTGGCCCGAGGAGTCCGAACAGGCGGTGGTGGGGCCACCATGTAGCGCTGTGGTGGCGTGCAGCCTGTCCAATCTCGGACCGTGAGCCTGCCCAATGAGATGAGGAGTGAAATGTGTCTCTCAACCTGCAAAACAATGTGAGAAAACATAAAAGTAGTATCCCTATGCTTCGCACTATTCCTTTCTGTCCAGGTGAATCAAAGGATCAGACAAGGAATGAGGAAGCCCACGTGTCTAAGGTGTGTGCTCTGTGAGAAAAAACTCAGGAGCTCAAAAAAACTGTATGTGGTGGGTAGGGATATATGAGTCCAAGTGGCAAAAGTTTGTTGTTGCTAGGTTAGTTGTTTGTTGTTGCTAGGTTAGTTATTTGTAGTTGCTAGGTTAGTTGAGTTTTGTTGCTAGATTAGTTGTCTTAAGTTGCTAGGTTATTTTTTTCTTGCTGCTAGGTTAATTGTCTTTTGTTGCTAGGTTAGTTCTTTCTTGCTGCTAGGTTAGTTGTCTTTTGTTGCTAGGTTATTTCTTTCTTGCTGCTAGGTTAGTTGTCTTTTGTTGTGTTGACGGACGTTTCCGGTCAACGGTTAAAAAGTTAAGTAATGAAAAGGTAGTGCGAAAAAGACAAAGAAATATGATTTAATTATGATTTTATTAGGGGATCACGAGGTCGGCCTCTCGTACGAGGTCGGTACTTGTGATATACTTACAGATTCTTACACGAGTTTCTTATAAATCTAGAGAGAGAAAAAGTAGAAAGAGCTTTTACAGTTAGGAATCAACAACCTAAAAATAAATGAGGGGTTTGCTATTTATAGTGGTCTTTAATGCGGTACTGTTCAGGTACTATTCACCGGTCTTGTCGTACAGTAGTTCGGCGGGACAGGCCGGCGCTTCTCTGACCGATTGGGAGTGATTTCCGGGTTCTCCAATCATTACCTGCCACGCATTTAATGCGGACGTGGGCTGCATTTAATGCGGACACGTTTTTGGCTGAACTAGACGTCCTAGTCCCGCAGACTAGTCTGAGATGTCCCATCGGCAATCATTTGTCGACAAATGGCCTTACTTTATTGTATTTAAGACCGTATCCCTATCAGGGGCCGCCCTTGTAAGATCTCGAACAGGGTGCCGACCTCGTAGTTGAAAGGGTATGGTGCCGATCTCGGAATCGGCTCTTCCCGCCGTTCCCGGTGGCTTTAATTTTTGCTCAGCTCGGCACCCACGAACGGTTTTGGTGACCGGCTTCTTCGGTTCGGCCGGCCACCGTTTGGCTTTCGATCTATCGGGCCGGTATCCTTATTGGGGCCGGACTCGGATATTAACATACCGGCCCCCGAGCTCGGGTGAGGTCCATCGTGCCTCTCCTGAGGTCGTCTCTTATCTGTTGGATCCGAGCTGGTCCCATCGAATCCGTGTCCGACCCTCTTTTGAGGTCGGCATCTCCACTACACTTGGTGTAGGCTCATGGTAACCGAAGAGACGCATTAATTGCGTTCACACGGGGGCGACACGTGGCAGATTGAGAGCCAAGTATTTTGAAGGGACGTAACGGTTGGCTATAGGAAGCGACGGTTGGCTTGCTCAGGACGTTTCAACTTTTATTTTGAATTTTGAATTTCGAGCTTATTCGTTCGTACACGTGTCTGCATCTCTTTGGGCGGTCTGCTTTATATATATGGGATTTTGGCAGGTCCAAAGAACTTTTAGCAATTTCGAAGCTCGTGACTTTAGTGCAAGTTTTCTCCCGATTCTCCCGGCGAATATCTCCGAACCCTTTTCCGGCGATTTGTTTGGGTAATTTCTCGATCTTTACTGTTTTTCCTTTTCTGTTTCTGTTGCGATGTCTTTCTCTCCGAAATCCACTGGCGGTGGCTCTCCCGGCGAGGGCGGCGGTTCCTTTTTCGGCGCGGCCGACGCCGACGGTGAACGGGCGGCGCGCTCCCCCTCTGTATTGACGGACGTGATCCTCACCGCCATTCCCATCTCTGTAGTCTGACCGGACTTTTCGACGGTCGAGACCGCCTCTGGTGGTAGAGGTAATGACTCTGAGGCCCCCCCGTCGCCACTGCGCGAGGGTGTCGGTGCCGACCTGGACCAGTCGGTCGCGGCCGACGTCGACCCGGATCTGGTTGATGAAACTCTCCGGGGCGATACCAGCGGTCGAGAGCGTGTTCCCATAGGTCCGGGAGACGCGACGACTGATGCCGCCGTCGAAGCGGCCACTTCCGTCCCTCCGGGGTTTTGGCGCCGGCCTGGGCGTGTCTGGGCGGCTCCAAGTGATGCGGCAGCTTGGGCTACGGGATCCGTCCTCGATGATGCCGATATCGTTCAATTGAGGGGAAAGTACAACTTCGGCCCCAGAGTTCGGATCTTCGCTCCTTATCCTAGAGAGCGGATCCATTGCCCGCCGCCGGGCTGCATCGGAGTCTATCACCAGAGCATTCAATTGGGCCTCAGATTCCCCTTACCCGGCGCGCTCAATGATATCCTGAGCGAACTCGAGGTCGGCATCAGCCAATATGTGCCGACTGTGTTTGCTCGGCTCGTGAGCCTAATCGTCATGTTCCGTCGCGAGGGTTGGCGCGACCCTACAGGCGACGAGGTGAAGGCCTTGTTCTCCTTCAAACGCTCCGGGGACACCGGCAATTATTACAGCTCGGTACTGCCGGGTATCGACAAGACATTGGTGGCTAAGTTGCCGGAGACCCTACATGGCTATATGTCGAAGTGGTTCTGGGTCGGTGGCGAGTGGAAGACCCAGGACGCGACCCGGCATCCGCCAACGCATTTTATTTCTCATACTAGTAAGCTTTTTCTTCCTTTTTTCCTCCGTCCGTTCACTGATTTCCCCCTTTTTCGTGCTAACAGGTCGTTACTTACGTTTTCAGTCCATAGCTCCAGCTCAGCTCTCAACTCCTCTCTCTCTGCTCGGATCAGCACCTTGTTAAGGCTGAGTCCAGAAAGGAGGCACTACTCGGTACTTACGAAAGAGGAAAGCTTGCTCGAACACAACCTCAGTCCGGTGATTATCGACAAGTCTTTTCAGCCAGGTACCTCATTATCCCTTCGTTATATATGCACGATTTTTGTTAATAACTTCTAATCTTTTCTCGGTCATTGTTTGTTCGCAGTTTATTACCCTATCCTTCGCTCGAAGGGATTCGAGTCGGCAAAGGCTGCGAATAGACACCGGCGCAAGCACCCCAACCCACTCAAGGCCAGAACTCAAGCCGCCATGTCAGGGCGTATGAACTTGGCCAAGAAGAGGGCGACGCTCAACAAGGAGCCGGCGCCAGGGGCTGCCGACGTGACCGTCGCGGCGGCACCTAGAGCGGACTCTACCGCTCGCCAAGTCCCGCGCGTGCCANNNCGTGACGTGGCGCCGGGTTAGGGAGGAGCCGGTCGCAACCGGCGACGTTGCTCAGGGCGGCAGCGCCGAGAATCAGGCCGCCGCCAAGAAGAAGAAAGGTGCCGAGGCGGAGA